GGGAAATTTGTTGAGAAAAATACTGAATCCGCTGAAGCTAGTATAGCAGCTGATGAGAATGATGGAACCATTTTCTGTGCAACGGAAAATAATTTTAGGTCTAACAATGAGTGGATTTTAGATTCGGGTTGTTCATATCATATGTGTCCCAATAGGGACTGGTTTTCAACATATGAATCAACTGAAGGTGGAGTTGTCTTAATGGGCAACAACGCTGTTTGTAAAGTTGTTGGCAAAGGCACAATCCGGATTAAAATGTACGATGGTATTGTGAGGACGCTCACAGATGTTAGACATGTTCCAGATTTGAAGAAAAATCTCATCTCTTTGGGCACTCTTGAGTCTATCGGTGCAGGTATTCAGGTGGAGACGGAGTTCTCAAAATCACTCGAGGAGCTCTTGTTGTTATGAAGGCACACAGATCTGGTACTTTGTATATTTTGCAGGGATCTACTGTTACAGGTGCTGCTGCTGTTTCTACATCAACTTTGTCTGATTCTGATTTTACCAAATTATGGCACATGAGATTGGGGCACATGAGCGAGAAGGGCTTATCTATTTATGCAAACGAGGTCTTCTTGGTAGTCAAAGTATTGGAAAGATGGACTCTGTGAACATTGCATTTTTGGAAAGCAGAAGAAGTTAGCTTCCAGTTGCCGGCAGTTCACAGGACAAAAGGAACTTTGACTACATTCATTCAGACCTCTGGGGGCCTTCTCGTGCTCCTTCTAAAGGTGGTGCCAGGTACATGTTGACTTTCATTGATGATTATTCAAGGAAAGTTTGGGTATATTTTCTTAAGCATAAAAATGATGTTTTCCTAACTTTCAAGCAATGGAAAGTTTTGATTGAGAAGCAAACAGGAAAACACATTAAGCGGTTGAGAACAGATAATGGCATGGAATTTTGTGGAGGTGAATTTAATGAATTCTGCAAGAATGAAGGAATTGTTCGGCATCACACCGTCAGGATGACGCCTCAACAAAATGGTGTGGCTGAACGTATGAACAGAACGCTTTTGGAGAGAGCAAGATGTATGATCTCCAATGCAGGGTTGACAAACGACTTTTGGGCAGAGGCGATCAATATGGCCTGTTATATTGTCAACCGTTCTCCTTCTGCATCTCTTGATTTCAAAACTCCTGAGGAAGTTTGGTCAGGTACTCCTGCTGATTACTCCAATTTAAAAGTTTTTGGGTGTCCAGCATACATGCACGTGAATGATGGAAAATTGGAGCCTAGGGCTAAAAAGTGCATTTTTCTTGGGTATGCTTCTGGGGTGAAAGGATACAGATTATGGTGTCCTGATCCCAAATCTCCAAAATTTGTGATCAGTAGAGATGTTACTTTTGATGAATTGTCTATGTTATCTTCCAAGAAGGAGTCTTCTAGTCCTTGTACTACTGATAGTACACAGAAGCAGGTGGAGCTTGATATTGGCAGTTCTGGTCCTTCTCAGACCAAATCTTCTATTCAACAAATGCCAGTAGATGCACCTGAGTCTACTGTGAAGATAGTTCAGAAGAAGAGGAATATTCCATAGCCAGAGATAGACAAAGGAGAGACATTCGACCACCACAAAGATATGCAAATTTAGTTGCATATGCTTTGTCTATTGCAGAAGAAACTGATGCAGTTGGTGAGCCTTCCACCTATTCAGAAGCAGTTTCTTTATCTTGTGATGATTCTGCAAAGTGGTTGATTGCGATGAATGAAGAAATTGAATCTCTTCATCGTAATGAAACTTGGGTTCTTGTAAAGCCGCCGTCAGCTAAGAAAATTGTCGGTTGCAAGTGGGTCTTCAAGAAGAAGGAAGGTATTCCAGGGGTTGAAGATGCAAGGTATAAAGCACGATTAGTTGCAAAGGGCTATAGTCAGGTACAAGGTGTTGATTTTAATGATGTGTTTTCACCTGTTGTTAAACATAGCTCTATTCGTGTTTTACTTGCTTTAGTTGCCATGTATGATTTGGAGTTAGAGCAGCTTGATGTTAAGACAGCTTTCTTACATGGCGAACTTGAAGAACAAATTTATATGAAACAACCCCAGGGTTTTGAAATTGAAGGTAAGGAAGACCATATTTGCTTATTGAAGAAATCCTTATATGGATTGAAGCAGTCTCCAAGACAATGGTATAAAAGGTTTGATTCCTTTATGTTGGGTCATGGTTATTTGAGGAGCATGTATGATAGTTGTGTTTACTTCCGGAAGTTAAATGATGGTTCTTTCATTTATTTGCTGCTTTATGTTGATGATATGCTCATTGCTGCCAAGAATTTGTCAGAAATTCACACTTTGAAACTGCAGTTAAATAGTGAATTTGAAATGAAAGATTTGGGAGCAGCTAAGAAAATTCTTGGCATGGATATCAAGCGAGATCGAGGAGTAGGGAAGTTGTTCTTGACCCAGAAAAATTACCTTGAGAAAGTTTTGGAGCGTTTTGGCATGAAAGATGCTAAACCAGTATCTACTCCTCTTGCTAGCCATTTTCGGCTATCTGCTGCTCAATCACCAAAATCAGATGAAGAGGAAGATTATATGGCACAGGTTCCTTATTCCAGTGCAGTCGGCAGTATTATGTATGCAATGGTTTGTACTCGTCCAGATATTGCACAAGCAGTCAGTGTTGTTAGCAGATATATGTCTTGTCCTGGTAAAGCACATTGGCAAGCTGTGAAGTGGATTCTCAGATACTTGCGAGGTACTTCAAATGCATGTTTGGAGTTTGGAAGAAATAATAACACTTTGGTTGGTTTTGTAGACTCAGACTACGCTGGGGATCTTGACAGGAGAAGATCACTTTCAGGCTATGTATTTTGCATTGGCGGTTGTGCTGTTAGTTGGAAAGCTACTCTACAACCTGTCGTAGCTTTGTCTACTACTGAAGCAGAATATATGGCTGTGACCGAGGCAATCAAAGAAACCTTGTGGTTGAAGAGTTTATTTAGCGAGCTAAGTCTATATCAAGGTGTTATTGATATTCACTGTGATAGTCAAAGTGCCATACACTTGACTAAAGATCAGATGTATCATGAGAGGACGAAACACATTGATGTGAAGTATCACTTCATTCGGGATATCATTGCTGAGGGAAAAGTCCTTATTCAGAAAATCAATACCAAGGACAATCCAGCTGACATGTTTACGAAACCTCTTCCAGTTTACAAGTTCAAGCAGTGCTTGAATTTGGTTGGTGTTCATTGTTGGTGATTTAAGCCCATTGGGGCTTATGTGGAAAAGGTGGAGCAGTTTTACTATTGTCGATGGTGGGATTCCAAATTTTGCCAAGGTGGAGATTTGTTGAATTGTCAAGCATTGCGGCTTGACTTGTGTGGCAAACATTTCCATCCCACATCGATGGCAGCCAAGGAAAGCCTTCCGTTGTTTTCCTATAAATAGGGAAGCGTATGAAGGTTTAAGGTGCACCACTTAAGAGAGTTATATGGGCTATTAGCTTCTTGAGTCATTTAGCCCATTTAGTCAAATATTTTAGGCTCTCTTATTTTGAGTTTAGGAATATTTTCTAAACTCTTTTGTAAGTGCCTATTGGCCTAGGAACCACTTTCCTACGGTCTTTTGTATTTCTTCTTCATAGTAGAAATATTGCTCCTCCCTCGCCCGTGGACGTAGGTCAATTTGACCGAACCACGTAAATCTTTTGTGTCTTTTATTTGCTTTGTTATCCGTCTTTATATGGTCGGTTTTACCGCCTAATTATTATATGGCTGGTATCTACCGCCTATCTATTATATGGTCGGTTATACCGCCTACTTTGTGCTAACTTGAGTTTGTCTATTCCTGGCCCGGTCCTAACAAAAAATTTTCTTCATCTTTCTCAGATGCGAAACCTTGTTTGAAGTTTGCCGTGAAATTGCGCGTCCCATGCGGGAGTAAGTTTATATGTTCTTCTTCTTTGTAGGCACGTTATCATCCTATTCAAATTAATTGCAATGAAAAATTCCACACGAGATTGCCCAGAGGAAAGAAAAGTAAAGAAAATCGGAGATTAGAAATTGCACTCGTCGAATGGATTAGAAGGGGTAAGGTTCCTTTACAAAACATCCGAGCTAAAATTGATTATTGTTCCTATACAGTTCGAACTATTTATGATGTATTAGGCATAAAAATTTAAATATTTATAGACGAGGAATAATAAATAAACTTTGACTTTTCTTTTCCTTTTATCTAGTTTAGAAAGCTAAATTTAAACCTCTTCATTCCTTTTCTCAAAACTAGTCAAATAAAAATTCGATTGATTATTTGATAAAATTGCTATGCTTAGTGTGTGACTCGTTGATTTTTTAGGGTTAGAATTCAAAAAATCGGCCTCTAATAACCAACCTAGCACTTCGCAAAATCTATTTTTAATTAAGAAGTCTCTATCAGAAAGCAGATTGAATTTTTCAAATTAGGCAAAAAAGACGAATTTATTATTTTTATCTTACGCATATAAGTCAAATAAAATATAAAAAAATAAAGATTTTTTTTTATTTTTCTCTATTTCCAATGATGCAATACATATTGATAATCTCCTATTATTCCAGTGTTTTGAAAATCGGATCATGCCTCCAATCCAATTCAATGAATAATCCAAAAAATCAATTGAATTCGTCAAATTTGGCCAAAAAACGGTTGAACCAATAAAAATTTTGAGGTTCAACCAATTTTTATTATCTAAAATAAATATTTTAATTTTATTCAAAATTTTTAATGCTAAAATAAATAAAAAATTATTATACATTTGAATCAAAATTGAACCAGGCAAACTGAAAATTTTTTTGGTTCACTCTTAGGCCCGAATTTAAAGACATTGATTATTCCTAGCCTCACATACTTGCTCAAAAAGGCTATAGAAGTAGCAAATTTGGACGAGCGGACTGATACTCCACCCTTTTTTCCCCTTTTTTTTCCTTTTTTGTAAAGGATGTATTGCTGGCTGATCTAATCTCAGTCCGGACTGATTAACACATTTGATTCCGTTTGTTTACGGACCCCATTTAAAAAAAAAAAAGCTTGTGATGAATAAAAGTTGATACAGAAGGATTTCTCCCCAAGTATACCTGCCACTCATATTCATACTATCACAAGATTTCTTCGCAGTTTCAACGATGTGTCTCAATTGGTTTCTAGCAAAATATGCATGAAGCACAAAATTTATCAAAACCGCCCCTTAACTTAGTAGCAGCATACTAGCATCTATATCCTATATGACAGAAACAGAGAATTATTCAAAATCCCAGCACTTTCAGCTTAAAGATGTCAGGAGTTTTAACCCTCAGACAAGCATGCACCATTCTCTACGACCTCATTCCACCATGGCATTTTCTTCGGGAAGAATTCATCATCTGGATACATCTTCTGAAACAGCTGCCACAAATAGCAGAAGGGCCTTCCCTCAGTATACATATGTTACTATGCTACAGATCCAAATCAAATCTCCAAGTTCCAGGACAGAAGAATAAAAAAAAGATTAAACAGATCTCGTTCTGAAACTAATTGCAGCATCATTTACCTTTAATGCTGCATCTACAACATGGCTATATTGCAGATTCCCATCAGGCATAGGGGTTGAACTAACACAATCAAATCCACCCTACAAGTACCAAGATTTCGGAGCCATTAGCCAAAAAAAAAAACGAATGCACATTTCAAACCAATACTAGCTTATCCGAAGGGTAAAAATGGGAGGATGAAATGCAGAAATACATGCAACACTAATTGTAAACATGGTGAGAATCTAGTTTATAAGAAAGGGGTAAGATAGCAAAAGAAAAACAGAAAGCACAAAACAAACCATAATTAGCTCTTGTATGTACAGAGTGCTCCAAAGTAAAGTCGGTTTCACTTTCACAACTGTATTCTCCCTCAGAGGATCCCTAGAATTATCCTCGAGTTACCAGAAACAGAAGTTGAAAACAAAGCTTCTTTTGCTGCATTTATTGATCTCTTCCCTTGAACAATCACCACATATAGTTGATAGATAGACGACGAACCTGCACAAGAAGGGAAACATCAGAGGATGGCACGTTCATCTCCACATAAGGAATTTCAAGTTCAAAAAGCATGATTACTGTGATTATAAATTGCACTAAAATATTGTTCAGAATGGCTCACATCTTTAGCAACTAAGAAAGAGTTAATTGAAAAGTATTTCATCGTCTCTTATCTTTGAATCACAAAAATAAGCATGTCTGGCAAAATTCTTTCCTAGCACATAGAATCTACCAAAATGTACTGGCATTCCACGTTATCTTTTGACAGGTAACTTACATGCCAGAGGGACAAGCCCGCACATTACTGCTCAATTGGAAGATGCGGACTGATGTCATCTGGTCAGGGCATAAAGCTAGAGAGTGAAAGTCAGCTAATAAAGTAGTCTAAATCAAATACAAGAAAAGAATTATGTTGTATTCGGAACTTACATTTAGGGGTATAGAACACCAGACAATTTGCTACATCCGGTTTAAAGGAATTATCTGTGATGCAAATTCCCCTGACCACCTTCTCTTGGCATCTTGTTGGACAAAATCATAATAAACATCTTGTGGAGAAACTGAGGGAGTCAACCCTGGTGGGATCACAAATGTGGGGGCAAGGATAAGATGATGGCTGAATAATTTTGTCCCGTAACCAGCTTAACGCCCTTATAATTCCCAACATCCTGCAAAATGTGCAAAGTGATACATACAAACTCATAGATTTCTCATCAGCAGCTATGCTGGGTGTAGAAGAGAATGGCATAAAAAAGAAAGCAAAAAAAATTCAACCAAACCTTGTCAACAAGCAGACCAACCACAGGCATTTGAGTAATCTGCATGAAGAAATTAGTAAAATTAAGGAATGCTTATGACTCAACAAAAAGAACAAGAGAATCAGTGGCATGACTCATACATCAACCCATCACTCATCAGCAGTCAGGTCAAGGAAAAAGAGAGTAGGAATAAAGCAGCAGTGACACCCACAGCTTATTTTAGAGAGAGATGTTGCTCCTTTTAATGTTTCTTCCACCCCTTTTCTACCTTGACATGGCAGCTAATTAAAACCCAAGTCCAAAAGCTTAATGTAACTAGTAATTGTCAATGCCCATGATGAATAAATGAGCAGCCCAGAATAAATAAACGTTTGAGTTGTCCAAATGTTAGACCATATGCTTTATGATTAAATACTCACCGAAATGCCACCCATGATAGCAGCACGACGGCAAAAAAGAAATGTGCCAGTTCTCCTTGTCCATAAATAGGATATAGCATAGCACCAGTTGCACCACGGAACCTATAAAAGTTGATAGAGTAATGCCTTGAGCATGAAATTTCAAAACTGGAAAAAGAACTGAATGTATTCATATCTTTACTTCTTTACAAGAAAAATGAACAAAGAACTACAACGAAGTACAACGAAGTACAAGGAGAAACACCTTTGCTTCAACCCAGTAATCTATAAACACAACAATGGTGGCATTATAGCCAAATTGACTATGATGCAGGTTATAAAATCAATGACACAAATCATACAACTAATGAATCCCAGATGGGCTCTAATAAGACAAGCAAGAGTTTTAAGAGATCATAAAAAAAATATTAAACCTGGGGAGTTGTGATCATTTTGGACTGGACAACATACAGAGTAGCACAGGACATAATTAAAATAATCCTGAGCGTAAGAACATTTACTCCCTTAACTGCAAAATGTTGTCTGCGTGTTTTACTCGCTGTTGAGAATCAAATTAATGCTGATAATTCCCAATCTCTCTACCTCACACAAACTTAAGAATCGATGAATCTGTACATAACACCATTGGATGTGGTTCTCAAATGAAACAAACATGATAGAAGACGAAAACCTGCCGACGGATTTATGATAAAGCATTAAACGATCAATCCCCACTTTTGTCTTGACAATGTCCTTTTTGCAAGCTTCCACATTGTCCTGTTCATAATCTGCCATCGTAATCGCATATAAAATGATCCTAGACAGACAGGCAAAAAATATATCAAAAGTCAAAAATATGCTGAAATGCAACTAAACTCCAAGTAAATGCATCCTTAAGAAAAGAGAAGTTACAAGTATTACACTAGTTGATCAAAACATGTCAGAATTTGAGAATTTACTTTCACTTCGGGTATAGTAAACAGAGTCATAATTCAGGCAGTATTCACTCATAGTATTAGGCTAAAATTTAAGTCAATAAGAAGCCAATCGGAAAGAAGAGAAGGTAAAACCGTCCCATTCTATATCAAACCACAAAAGAGAAGTTAAAAAATAAACCCAACACAGTAAAAATTCATATAAGTTCAGAAACAGAGAAATCATGGGTAAATGGAAGAAATAATGGTTATCTACTTACGATGTTAGCTTGGGAGACAAGCGAATTTTGCAAGTCAAAAACTCCACAAATGGAGTCTCTAAATCCTCTGGGGTGATTTTCATGCTACTATTATTTTCGTCGTCCTCCTCGTTACTAGTCGTGGTACTAGATTTAGAATTGGAATGATAATGGGCCTGAAGCAGCTTGAAGAACCTCATTAACTGATTCTTCTCCTTCAAGCTCAAGCTTCTATCTCTGAATATGGCGTTACGTGAACCCGGCACACTATTCCACAAAAGCCCCCCACCTTTGCCTTTTTGGCATTCATCATAAATACAATAGCTGGTGTCCACGCTCATGAAACTCATGCAGTTCTGAACATCCACATCCACAATCAAATCCACCATGGGATCCGCGCAGAATAGAACCCTAGGCCCCGCTAAATCAAGGTTAAATTCTTTTTGCAGTGAATCATCCAAAACTTTTTCAGGGGAGTACACGTGGACCTCCACGGAAGAGTAGAGAGGGCGAGTGCTGAGGGGCAGAATGTTGAATGAGGAGTCGGTTGTTTGGTCGGTTGGTGAATCGACCGTACGAAAATCAGTATAATCATGATCAGAAGTGGTAGCAGAATGGAGATGGAGGAAAGAGATGAGGTCTTTGGGTGAAAGGGAAGCAAAGGGGCTATGGTAGTAAGGGTCAGGATTGATTTGAAGTAGCGGTCTTTCCGGCTGAAGCTGCAGCGGCGGCGATGATGGACTCCGGAAGTCCGGTGCCCACCACAATTAGATCAAAACTGGTGGGTTCGATTCGGGGCGGCCCTTCATCCTCCTCAGCCGCCATGTATGTCATCAACTCACGCCGCTCTTTCGCCTACGGGGCAATGTTTTAAAACTCGGACCGTCAATTGAACCGGTGAAGTGAAAGGGTCGATGTTCAATCGTCGGACCGATTCAATCCCGGTTCAATAAATAAATATATATATATACACACACATATACACACACACCTATGCACATAATTAATACATAGCTAATTATGAATATTCAACAAATAAATTAATACATAGCCAAGGAGGATGGGAAATTTTGTATCAAATTTCTCAAATACAAGAAGACATCCAATGGCACCTTAACAAAAGATAATCCTAGTTTTGTAATAATTGCCAAAACTAAAATATACACCTAGTGATGCACGGCTATGAAACATTAGTGTAGTGATTCGGGACACATTATAGTGGATCAATTGTAAATTTAAAATGATTTGATGCATTGCAATAATTTTAGTAGAATCAATGATGCTTAAGACTATTCGTCCTTCTTTAATTCCATGATGATTTGAAGTCAACATCCGTGAACTTTTTCCACTTGTGACCATGAAACTTTCTATCTAAAATGGTACAAATCCTTACTCGATCCATCACTGTAATAAAGAAACAAGTATGCAAAATTTATGAAGACTTGCAGCTTTATCATTGTGGAATTTCAGGAAACATACGTCTACTGGAGTTCATGTGCATATGAGGTTTTTTTTTTACTTTCATTCACAAAAGCCTATTCAAAAACATTTTGTGCAGAAACTCGCACTTTCTCTTGGCTAGCAGTCTCCATAGTAAGATAATAGATTAACCTATTGATTCACCTTTGCTACAATCTTCGAGCCAGGCAACAAAGGCAACTAACGAGTAAAAAAACAAAACAAAACAAAAATTACAGGACAAACAGACTGATGAGCTTATCTAATTTGAGGACAAACCAAAAAAAATACCTTATCTAATTTGAGGACAAACCAGATCTTTTGTTTTTCAACTTTTTTTTTACTTTACCAAGTTAGTCTATGAAATGGAAATAGCAAAAATATAATCTAATCATTTAGGCTGCTGCTGCAATGACAAGTCAATAAAGATCATATGCCCAACAAACAAATTGTATAATTAGAGGCTCCCCCAAGACATTGAACGTACGCATGCAAATTTCATTACCGAATATCAGGAAGTATCGTAAACCAATTCATAGTGAAAAAAGAAGATAGATTCTTTCAGTTTCTTCATAGTCCTGCTAATTTCGAACCAAAATGAAGCAACAAAAAATTTACCAATCAGCTGTGCAACTCTGGAGCAGGAAAATTACAAACATATACAAAAATTTATTCACACTATCTTATCTTTCAAGCAACAACTTAAAATGAAATAGGATTTTACGGCATCATCATTCTTCTTCAATTATGACACTACTACAATTCCCTTCCAACAAAAGTTCCAACTGAACTAGTAACCAAAGAAGATAACAGTACAGTTCAATCAGCTATTACAGAATCAGATCTACCAACTGCAACTGGACCAATCTACAACTACAAAACTCATAACTGCAGTGCAAGAATTATAACTAATAATCAAAACCCACAAAAATTCACAGAATATCAATCCAGAAATTCACATATTGCCTCTGATCTTCCTATAGCAAGGGCAAAACATGAAACTGCAAGCATCAAAATTCAATCTTTTCCCAAAAACAGCAACCACAAAGGGCCGAGGGGACGGTTCCTAAAACCCAGCAATCAACAAAGAAAGATTAAAAAAAAGGGAAAAAGATAAACGAACCCGCCGTAATAGCTTGAATTCCAGAGTTTTTTGGCTTAGAATCGATGCGGTGAGTAGAAAAACTTCATGCTTCCTTTTTGCTGATTGCTATGGATCAAGATTGGACTTTGGACTTTGGACTTTGGAGAAGGATTAGGATTAAGCCATTAAGGGAGAGAAGGAATTAGAGACGGCAATTTTAGGAAGCAGGAAGACCGAAGAGTGAAGATTGAAGGCTAGGTTTAGATAATTTCGGTAAATTCCACAATGATAAAGCTGCAAGTCTTCATAAATTTTGCCATACTTGTTTCTTTATTACAGTGATGGATCGAGTAAGGATTTGTACCATTTTAGATAGAAAGTTTCATGGTCACAAGTGGAAAAAGTTCACGGATGTTGACTTCAAATCATCATGGAATTAAAGAAGGAGTACGATTACTTGAACAGAAATTCGCAACAGAAATCCAACTGCCGCCCAAAACCATGACGCCAATAAGATTACTTGTTTGGGTAATAAACATTTAATTCACGTAGCACTAGACTATTAGTAGTAGACTATTAGTACTGTACCAGAAAAAGCTAGAGTGATGCAGGGGTCTCAATTGCAGAGTGATGCAGGTTATACCAATAGCAGTTAATGTTCTTCTTAAATGTGGGCGAGCCCAAGAAAAATAAGAGTATAAAAGAGGAAACAGACCTGGAACTTATTGTAATATACATCCATCCATCCATTAACCAGGTTTTGTTACTTAGTTGGAACTTAAGGCTAAGCTAGACTTAGTTCGATACTTATCCATCCATTAACCAGGTTTTGTTACTTAGTTGGACAGATTCTGATAAACTTAGCTATAAAGTGGAAATGAGTGAAAGTTTAACACTGTAGGGGCACATAATCCTTGTTTGCTTGTGACACAGAATACTGCTAATTAATATTGTGCTGAAAATGACTTTGGCGAATTCTCATAAACTTTCAAAGTTTTGTCTTAAGAAGGTTAAAACTTCCTTAGAAACCTATGACAAGCAGCTATGATGCAATCAGTCAACCAAATCAAAAGGGCAGACAATTATATTATTGAAATGCTCAACGGAATTGCAAAAATTCTCTGCATCCAAGCAATGCAGAGCTAAAAACACCATAGGATCATGCCTGTTGAAATAGCAAAATCCATTTTCTTTCAAAATCTGATTTATGGGATCATGCCTATGAACTGCTAGCAACGTACATACATAAAAATAAAACAGGTAACACAGGGACAGAGAAGTTGGTTGGTGGATTGTGGCTGGGGTTAGAGGTGGATGGATGGACTGGAGACTGTAGTTGGT